TTACAAACTTCTGTGGGGAAGTTTCTCCAGGTGTGGGACTAAGACAGAACGGGAAGAACACATGGTAGCATTGTAAAGAGATTTAGGCAGAACTGATTTGAAGTAGAAACTTTTGCAGAGAGAAGATGAAATCAGTATCTGGTGAACCAGAAGAAGAGAGGGTTGCATCTAGAAATCTTCAGAATCCCTATGTGTCTGGCAGGTTTTGATGTGGTAATTCATTGCATCTGATTTCAAATTTTTTCATCTTCAAACCCTGTAGTGAGACAGATATTGTTTCTACTGGATAACTGGAGTACCTCAGCTAGACACAAGCAGCACTGCTTGTCCAAGGTCAGAAGGGGAATAAGAAGCAGGGCCAGACCCAAAATACATGTGATTTGCTTCTAATGCCAGCATTTTAATTACAAGAGTGTCCTCTTTCCTGCAGTGGGGTTCCCAGTCATCTGCAAGCGGCCTGTGCGAAGTCTGTGCATGCCTTTGAAATAGCACCTAGTATGATGGGCATGTTTGATGGTGCACATAGTGTGGGAATGTCAGTGTTTAAGGTGCAGGTAGGAAAACCTAAATCCCTTTTCCAATGGCAATGGATGCTCAGTGGCAAGTAGAATTATGTGCTTCCCTTCCAATAGGAAGAGCTAGTCAGAATCCATTCCTAAGTTTACTGTTGTTGGTTTTGCATGGGAGTGAAATGGAAGATGAAAACTCTAAAAAAAATTGAAACGATTAAGTCTGACAAGGAGAGAGGTTTACAATATTTTATACTCCCTTGATTTCAGTTGGGAAGACAAGAGATACGGGTCATCATTTTGGATCAGGCAGGCATTACATTGAACTCTTTATTATGTGGGTATTGCAATGGTGGCAGCAGCAACAAAATGTATGTTGAACACACAGCTAATGCTTATGTAAATGTTATGAGATCTATTTTGGAGATAGGTACCAGGATCCAAAGTGCAGCTAATGTCAGAGGCTTTGAACAAGCCGGTTAATTCTGTGTGTTTTGTAGAGCTCTAGAACTAGAACAATATTCCTGTCACTGGGCTGGGATGCATCCCGCCTAGTTTTATTGCCCTAACTCAGAGTTCATCATCATTGACTCCTTCTATAGCAAATGGAGAGAGATCTGCAAGTCCAGAAGGCAATTGCTCTCTAAGACTGACATCTAAGTTATGGCAAATAAGTAGCTTTCTAGAGGATCCTATTTCTCTGTGCAACTATTCACAGGTCCTGGATTCACTAGTTCAGAACTGGGCATATAGAGGTAGGTGAGATAATCCCACCCGAATGACTAAATGAAAGCTCATCAGTTCCACTTTTTCTGGAAGGTTGTTGAATGCTCTTTGGGATTGGTATTAAGTCACTCCTCCATATCAGACCAGCTTTGGAGCAATACTAATTCAAGTCATAGTGACTGTTTTCTTAGGAGATGTTGAGATGAGAGCTAAAGGTTTCTGAGTTCTTTAGGCCTAGGTTTTGTTCAGAAATGCACTCTCGAACACAAATGTTTCAGGTTACTACATAAAGATTGAGGCCCTGTCACAAAAACATATAATGAAAGAAGATTCTTGCCTCAAAGAACTGGTCATGAAAGTAGGTAAGGCTGACAAAAAGGTGGGAATAGAAGCAGGGAGAACTCAATTCAGCCACCTATAGCTATGTAGTGTCATTTGAGATGCCTGAAGAGATGCCTCGGATATCCATTTGGAGCTCACAGATATGGCACAAGACCTGCAGGAATCTTTTGCCTACTGGAGCAGCATCCTAGAGCATCCTGGGTGTCACTAGATGCCTGCATGTGGGCAGCTGAATCAGTCCCTAGACATCCCTTGAGTACAACGGAAGCTAACTTAGATGTAGACACATGTATGTAGACGCTTAAGTTTCAATGTCTTAACCTGTGAATTGATTCCCACCTGAAATCACTTGCCCAAGGTCACAAAGATAATAGCATCAGAGCCAGAAACAGAACCTTGATCTTGCATCTATAGCGCCTGAATATGGATGATATTAGCATCCTCTGACTGTAGGTCACCTTCACCACACTCCTGTAAGACAGGCAAGTTTTCTGTCTGTTTTTAAGATGTTGAAAAAGAGGCATAGAGAAGATGATTAACTTTTCTTGTAGAATAATTACGCTGAAAGATCTATGCTGGTAAAATTAAATATCTGGTAAAAAATTAAATATCTGCCATTCCAATCCTATGCACAGAGGCTGACTACTCAGTACCTCTGCCAAAGCTTTCCTTCTTGTAGTCTGTGCTAATCTTTCCAAGGTCTGTGCTATTGGTTGCATGGTATATCAGTGATGCAATACAGACACAGAATCTCTGTGCCAGAAGGAACTTCTTCCTTCAACTGCTTGACCGTTCTTCTTAATGGGCTCCTATTCATCCTAAATAAGCGCGAGTTTGTTTTTTTTCGTGTGCAAAAGTTTTGAGGCTGGTTAGACCTAGACCCAATTATATTCAGAATTTGATTAGGTTTTCAGAGCCTTTTAATGTTTGTTGATTGTCACTTGAAATCTACTTGAAAAACTTCGCTTCACTGTATTTCTCCAGAGACATGTATGAGCTGGTAATTGTGTATTAACACAACAAACTGAATGATTCAATTATTATTTTGTAGGAAATTCTATTGCTGTAAAAACATCTATTATTAGGTTACCCATTATTGAGAGAGTACTCAGCCATTATTCATTTCTGTCATTAACAGAAATGCTAATGTGATTATTAACATAAAGTGGAAGGGTGAGATTGCATGAACCTCCTTTAACAAATATGCTCATGAAGATGCCAATTCAGAAGTTGAAAGCTTTGCTTGGAGGACAGTCTTGCCAGTGAGCTAGGTAGTGCTTCATCTGGTACTGTTGATAATCTGATCTTGTCATCCTTGAACTTCTCATGACTTTGGTACACTCACCCTAGGAGGTATGTTATCCCATGAATGGCTGTAGACCTTGTTTAGCAAGAATGTAGACATGAGCTGAATGAGACACTTGGGGTTTTGGGGCTTTTCTGTGCTGTGGCATAGGCACCTCTCACATGCACATCTGACTGAAGCCCTTCTCCTACTCCATGCCAGATGTAACTGGTCAGTAAAGAAGCAGCAGTACTGCATGGTCACCAGGGATGCGTGCTGCAAACTAGTGCAAAAGTTCTCCTTTGGACCTTGTTCCTGGTGAGGTGGCCTGAAGCATAAGTTTCATACATAAGTTGCAAGTAATTTTAAATATCTGTATGTAACTAACACATGCATAAAAACTTGAGAGTTCAGTTAAATTGCAAAATAAGTGAATTTGATGCCATTCAAGTTTTCCAAGGGTGATGGTATATGTAAGTTTTAGAAGGTAAATACCTTCTAAATACCTCAATTCTTTAAATGGGTGCTTCTAATTAAGGTTGGAGTGCCTTAACTGGCTAGATATTCTTTGACCCAGCTTAAAAATTCTGCTGTTACTGCTTGGTGTTTTATTGTAGTGTATACCTCTTCAGCAGAAAGAGACTGGTGTTGTCTTTCATTTTTTTCCACTACCATTCAATGCGTCTCTGCAGTTTAAGAGCTGAAAGGCAGCTTGTTTGATTGGTAAAGTTGTTGTCATCTCAGCCACATTTTTCAGGTAGATTTAACTGTTGCTTTACTGGCATTGTATGAAATTAAGAAATGAATGTGGCTTACAACTTTTTAACAGTGGGGGAATTAACTACAATGAGATATTGGATTTGAGACTTTCCTACCCTGTAGGACTTGGTTTAGAGTCAGTGGATAACTGAAATAATATTATAATGATGTTTTAAAGGTTGGAAAAGTTACAAATAGGACTTAAATTCGATGTAACAGCTTGCTTAATAGCAAGAAGCAGTTGTCTTTTTTTAAGAAATTTTAGCTATATTAAAATAAAGTTGCTAGGTGGGTGAGTAATTTTCATCTTATTTTGCAAGCAGGTCAGCTAAATTGCTCACAGCTACAAAGAGCATTGCTATAAGAGATGAGGTTAGCATCCGCTAGGTTTTGGACTTTAGACATGTACTGGAGTGCATTTCTTTCATAAAAGATGTAGGTGGGCCACACAAAGCACACAGGCCTGTCATCTTTGATAAGCCCCCACTGTGATGCTGAGAGCATCAGTAGGATGCAGCCTAGGTATCTAGATTAAAATGGCCCACTGCTCCATGTCTTTCCCAAGTATTGAAACAGGTCTGTTTTGGTAATGTATATTTCTTATACAGTTTTTTTCGGAAGAAACAGCAATCAAGGGACCAAACAACAAACACTGCATTATGCAAAAGCACTCAAAATTATTTTACCCTTGGTCTTTGTTACTGATAATTATTTCACAGTAAGCACCCACGTAACGTAGGGGAGATATCCAGGTTTTGAAATAGTTTTTGAGCATGTAGTCTTTTAAATCTTCCCTAATTGACTTGCCTAAGCTGACTGTCACATTTTGTGCATACATTGCTTATTACTATGGCTGGAATCTATGTTCCTGCAATACCCATTTTTCTTGACAACTGACCAAATGAAAAACAATTCTTTTTGGCATGCAGAGCTCACTAAATACTGTTTCAGGGAAAGAACAGTGCTATCTTTTCTATTGAGGTTTTGCAGAAACTGAAAGCCCCGATACCTGTTGTGTGTGTTGAATTGCCCTCAAGTTGTACTGAAAACAATCAGAGGACACTTATTTGTGGAGAGAATAAAGTACCATGTTAGTGATGTGATCACCACCATGACTGACAGATGGATAGAACATCTGCAACAGTACCATTGGGAATACTTCAGGAATGAGGCAGGTTTTTAAAAAATGAAATATACTTCATCAGTGTTTTTTGAATAGCTCTTTTCAGTTTACATCAGCAATAAAATATTTTGCTCAAAATGAAATGTGTTTGTGAAAATTCACTTCAGCTGATTATTTTTTTTTGCCTCCCAAGGGTAAAAAGGTTTGTTGAAAAAGTTCGTGTCTCTATTTGAGTCTGATACGTGTTCAACAAATATCACTTAAAATTACCAGATAGGAGTAATAGAATGCAGTTCTGTCTCCACATAATGGTCAAATAGAAAAAGCTGGTCCAATTTATTACCTTCACTGATTCACCCAGATAAATCACCCAACCTTTTTGAGAACTTAGGCACAAAAACTTGAGAAATGGATCCTGTTGGTTAATGAGTAGATTAAAAATTTTGAGAAAACACCTTTGTCATCCTCTCCCTGAAGCCTGGATGAACAAATCATCAGTGATATTATACCAAAGTTCAGCCAAACCTTCTCCAAAGCTTTGCTGCTCTGTGGGTCCCCTCACCCCTGAACTGAAAAGTCCACACTATAATCCACCTTTTCCAAGAATCTCTCTTTAATTTCTCTTGTAGTTTCCACAGATACTAGCTATCCAGGAGAATCAAAAGAACACTATGTTTCAACCAAAAACTATCAGCACATGCTGTGTCTAATTCTTCCACTTCTAAAAACTGAGCTGTGATTTTGTGTCCTTCAGAAGGGCTTGTGATGTGCTTGGTGACAGACATAACACAGTGCTACAAGGTATGGTGCTAATCTCTTTTTCAGACTTCTTCTAATAAACTGTGTCCACTGGGAAAATAAGGAGGCATGTCTACACCCCAGGTGCAGGTACACCCCAGTTACCTAAGCAGAATCCCAGCTCTTGATGTTATATTGTCTCTTGGTGGGACAGGACCAGGATGCTGGAGCTGAGTTGGTACATACACACAGCACTGAATCCCATACATCATAAATACTGACTTGAGCCAAAGCTAGCTGACGAGTCTCTGCATTGTTTCCTGATATGGTTGCAGGAGATCACAGAGGGGAAAACTTGGCATCGCCGTCAAACTCCTCAAGAATTTTCTCGTATCTTTAAAAATGGTAAATGTGACTCCTCCAAGGATGGAGGCTGGGTATGAGGGGGTTGTTCCAGGTGAGGTGTCTTTGCCTTCCCTGAGTGAGTGGTGGGTGTTGCCACCATTCTCCACTCCCTTATTTTCTGGCTTGTACTTACTCAATTTTGAGCATACCAAAGGAAAATTAACAGCCCCTTGTGATGGGCTGAAGGAGTGCTCCAAACAGATTGTTTTCTAAGGCCTTGTCCAGGCATGATCCCTCATCTTTTTACTGTTTGAAAAGCTTCCCTGACACGTCCTGAAGAAATATGCAGAAGAAATGCTGGCCTTGTTCCTGCAAGAAGATTTGGCCAGGCTCCCACGCACGAGGCTAGAGATCAGTGGCTCACTGCTGTGGAATCTCAGTCCTGCTTAGCACTCATTTCCCTCCTCTTTCCAGAGTCCCTTAATCTGATAGATCATGTGAGGAGAGGCGAGAGGGGGAAGGGGAGGGGACCGTGATGTAAATCAGCTCCAGCTAAGTTAAGAGACTGCGTTCAACCGTACGGTGCCTGCAACTTGCTGTGATTCGGGGTACCACCGGGAGACCCTGAATCGTGCTAAAAAGGAGCAAAGATGGAGCATGTCTGTTTGAGACCCAGCGGATGATGGACTCACTTCACTTGTGGGGAAGAAAACGGTGCGCTTAACAGCGCACGCTCCTGCAGCTTCTTGCCTTGCTGTCTGCTGCGTGTACTCAGAGTGACAGGAGGACAGACTCCAGGACGTTCCTGGAGAAAGGGAGAAGCGAAGCTCGCTATACTTGTGGGGTAAGTTTGTTCCTGCTACCTGGGTTTTTCTCTCTCATTTGAGGCTTAAGCATGTGGTTTGGGGGAAGCAAAGGAAGTGGAGTAAACTGGGATGTGTATGAAGTGTCTGAGGGTATTTAACTGTCTGAAATCCTGCCTGGATTGACTCTGAGCCAGGTGATAATCACTGACTAATCCCTCCGCTGGCAGATCCTGCCCAGATTACATGGCTGTGTGTCTCTGTGCCAAGGTGCCTACCAGAGGTATTTGCAGTGAGGGTCTTGAGTTGTATGCTAGAGAAACAGACGAAAAAGTGTTTTGACTGCAACAATTGGCTGCAGAAGAGAAATACGTGTGTGTGTGTGTGTGTGTGTGCTCATCTCACGGTAACCGCTGTGTGCAGTTGCATGTCAGGGTTAGCAGGCAGAGAGGTCAGTAGGTATAGCCAAATTGTGTTGCTTGTTACATTTCACACAAGTAAATCTGTACATAATCAGGATTCAGTCGACCATGTAAATTTTAACAGTTTTTGATTCAGATTTGCAAAATATATCTGGCCAGGAGCGTCAGACATGCTCTAAGCATTTGTAGCTCTAGCTGAAGTATGTGATCTGTGGATTAAAAAGCTGCTTACACTAGTAAGGTCCCTAAAACACATTTATACCATGATAAAGGGCCCTGTAGTAGGCTAGAGTTTTTCTTTCCCTGTAATGTACACGCTACTGCTCTTGCTGCCAGATAACACAGGCTGTTGTCAGCACCTGCAATAGGGAGTTTTCTAGCTGAACGTTGGCCTTTCCAAATGCCATTGAAGAAGTCCGCCTGCTAAGGGAAAGGAGGAACAAGAAGGAATATCAAATTATACATGGTTATTATACTATATTATAATATATTAGGTTTTGCTTTAGCTAGTATATATAATATAACATATCTAATAGGTAAACAGGGCATCAAGTAACTGACACAGCTCAGTTAACATCTATGGAGTTGCACTAGTGATGAATTAGTCCCCGATTGCCTGCTAGCATTGCGAATCTCTGAGAATGCTTGCATGAAAATACTGTTATGACACCTGCTGCCTGTCCCAGCCAGAATGTTGTGCCTGTACTGTTTTAGGATAACATCACTCAGTTGATTTCCCCACATGGTACACAGGGCTCCTGGCTACGGTATTTTGAGTACAGCTAGTCAGAATATTTCTAGTGATGAACATCAACAAGATATTGAAATATGGAAACAGAAGTTATAAAAAGAAAGCTAATCATCACTCTGTGTGTATGTGTGTGTTCTTTTTCTCCCTTTTTTAAACATAACTCTAACCCTGGTCAAAAATTTCAGTTTATACATAGAGCAAAATATTTGCTTTTCATTAGCTGTAGTCCTGAGCCTTTATCTAAGGAGCCTCCTTTCCCAGAACTCAGTCAAAACTAGGATAAATGGGGTTGTACTGATCCTGTGGATGCTCATTTTGATTTCTTTCCAGGACTTGTGATGGCTTCAGCTTGGCAGAAAACTCAGGAATACTACAGCTGGGTCCTTGAAAGCGGAGGTAAGTGCCTTAAACAGAAATCAATACATACACACACAGTAGTGTGATCACAAAGAACAAACTTAGAAGAAAAGTGATCCTTATATGAGTGTGCATTTTTTCACTAGGCAGATTTTCACTTTTTCCTCCCTATGATCATGAACTTCCTTTAAGTCTTGAAATACGTACGAGGGAGACTCCAGCAGGATCACAGTAAGGACTGAAGGGGCTGGGGATTTCCCCAGTCCGTAGTGGGGAACTCTTGGCAACTTTCTGTCTCACCTACAATGGCAGACTGACCAACAAGACATGTTCAGGACTGCCTTTTAAATCTGAGATATTATAAAAAAGTGAATTTTTTAACATGCATATTGATGCATCACGGGAAACCTTAGTAAAACAAAGAGTTAGTACTTCATGTGTTTAAACTCATGAAGATGTCAGTAAGATGTGCTATCTAATAAAATATTGATAGAAGCCATTGCTCAGTGTTTGAAGGTTTTTCTCTCTGCAGTTAGGAGACCTCAGGGCTTCAGTTGCTAGAGGTTCTGCAGGTCCAGTTTAGCAGAGCCCTGTGGCACCCTCGGAGTTAAATGTCAGAACATGCCACATAGTGGCATGAAGGTGGAATGGCAGGCCTGCATGGTGGCCCTGAGAGGGGAAGGATATGGGGCCGAGTGCGTAGGTTTCAGGACTTGAATTTCAGAAGAGAGTCTAATTCAAGACTTCTGACAGACTGTAAAATCCAGAACTGGGATATCAAAGAGCTCTTGACACAGAGATCATAGCAGAAATAGTAAAGGATTTGCAGGTTTAGAAGGAAGGGAGATTAATAGAGTTGTGTGGACAGGAACAACATCTTAAAAAAACCCTGATGCCCATTGGCAAGAATGTGTGAAGAACACAGGAAGGGGATGCAGCATTAGTGTATGTGCCATGTAACTTACCAGTGAGCCAAAGACCGAATTTCAGTAGAGGATTTCTGTGAGGGTCCAAGGACTAGAATAGTAAGATGGGATCTGGGGCTTGGGACTGGCATGTCAGGAAGTGAAGAGAGATGTTGAGAGAGTTTAGTAGAGCAGTGACCTCAGTGGGAATGGGAGAAGAATGTGTAAATAAGAACTAGAATATTTTTCCCCTAGGATTTGGGGGAGGTGACAGGACAGAAATCCTGTTGAACTTCCCTTTCCTAAAGGACTGAGGAGCAGTTTCAAGAGAGACGTGTGTTTAGTCATTTTCCAGTGAAACTGTATGCTTTCAAGGGAGTCCACTCTATGAGTAGATCTAAAAGGAAAGGTATGGAGAATTTCAGATGGCCTGAACATTGTGGAGAAAAGAGGAAGTAGTCTCTATGACTGAAATAATTTATTGCTGAGCTTTAAAGACTTAAGCTCTCGCAGATCCCGGAAATGGTTAGTTTGTTCTGTGCTTCCCTGCT